ACTGCAACAACAACTTCCGTCGGTGAGGTGTTGTTGGGGCCCTATTCTCCAGTGGGAGTCTACAGGGATTATTATTATTATTATTATTATGGACTATGGAAAACTGGGATATTGGTTGATAAAGCTAGGGAAGGCCAGGTGATTAGCTGATGAAGATGAAGGAATAAAAAGACTATTGGTAGATAGGATAGGGGATGTATTTGATAGGTAAAATTGGGGGAAAATTGCGTAATGTCTATTGATTATGAAGAAGATAATTAAGGGAAGGCATTTTTTTTTCTTAATCTTCATATTGTTAATTGCCATATAAAGGGATTTAGATTCTAATATATGAATCTCATTTTCAAAAATCTAATTTCATAGCTTTATTATTTTTACTTTATAATATTTGTTCAAAAATGTACTTATAGTGAAGTTTTAGAGAAATGAAGCTTCAAAGCATGAACAAGTAATTCTCATAAAATATTATGGTACTAAATTTGTGCAATAAAAATTATCAACTGATGTTGGAACCTGAAGCATAATAATTAAATGTTTCTTTGTTTTGTTTGTACAAAATTATTTCAAAATTGTAGTTCCTTCCTTTCATGATTTGCAAAATATTGTTTGAATTAGAAATGTCAGTTTTACTAAAACATCTGAATGTTGTATATCTCTATGAAATGTTTTATTTAATAAGGAATTGAATGTTTCAAAAAAAAAACTAACAAACATGTTAGAGAAATGTAGTATTGCTATTAATCAAGAACTGAGTATTTAGCTGAATATGTGTACAAATCAGGTTAATCGTATGGAAAAGGACCATATGATATATTGTACTATAAGTTGTTGATTATACAGTCCCCAATACAAGTTACTGCGATGCTACTGTCCAAAAATGGATTTAGCATACAAACTTTAAGATATTTAGAAAAACAACCAACCATCAATTATACCTCTGACGAACCACATTAGTAAAAAAAAACATGTTGAACAAACAGTTGACATGCTTGAAGTTGTCTTTCAAAACCAAGTGGCAAATGAACATGGTACTTTCCAAGTTGTTGTTGCTAGAGTTTGAAATGACACTGTTGAACTCTCTCAATACATGGTTGGCCCCAGGGACCAACCATAGGACAATTTTTACTTCTATGTAGTTTTAATACTATAACTTTTAATATGGTGTGTGTGTATCTTCACAAAATCTGCACATTTAGTGCACATTACAAGTATTTTATACACAAAAAATCAGGTTTTTTTATGAAGTATGTTTATTAAAGATTTGTCTGTGAATATATCGTAACCACCAAAAAAAAAATAAACATCGAAATAAATTTAAAGTACTTTTTTTTTCCCCTAGAAGGTCTTCAAATTGTTACATGAAACTACGTTTGTTTATCCTAAGTAACTTTAAACTCATAACAGTATACATCTATTTATAATTAAATTTTGTTTTATTGTCCTTTGAACTGTGTCTAAGTACAATTCACACTGTTATAAGTTGTAAATCACTTGGGAAACGTGGAGGTCATGTGTGCATACCTCATGAAACATTTTTGTTACATTATTATTATTATTATTTATTTTACTTAATCTAACCTAAAGAGATCCTTATTTTTACATTTTCGTTACTTGAATAATAATAAATAGAGAATAAACATGAATCTTCTTTTTTGTTGCTGTCAATTGTCGATTACACTTAACCCTACGTTTTTTTATACTAATGGTAGTCATGCACTAAATAATTTTTATTTAATTAAAGAATGCAACATAGAACATAGACTAATAGTATGTAAAAAGTAGACAATTTTTCTGGCTTTCTAACTATGCAACAACAAGAACTGTTACAAATTCATCCAAGCTAGTTATCTTTCCCATAGGAACAAAGCTTGTACTAACAGAGAAATTGATGATTCTCCATTTAGAAAACAACTTTATACAATACTCCATTTGATAATGAAAACCTTGCCTTTCTTTTGGTTATAAATAATGTAGAATTAACCGTAAGAGAGAACTATTAACAAATTCTGAATGAGAGGATGTGACAGGTGGGTGTGGCAAGAGGGTTCTGATTTTTATTTGTTAGCTCTGTAACCAAACAAAATTGAAGGCCATAAAAAAATTGTGGTTTGTCTGAGAAATGACGATTTTATAGTGGGTAATTTATGTTGAATTTCATACTTATTGGAGGGGTGGTGAATAAAATAAAGAAAAGGTGATGCATAGAGAAAATGTGTCACATTAGGGGAAATTCAGGATTAACTTGTATACTATTAAAATATGGATTATTAGCTAAGATTTTATGCTATACTAAATGGAATAACATAAATAAAAAGTAGCTTAATAAAATTTTGAATGTAAGTCATTTAAACCTCGTGACATGCACAGTAAAGGATGCCCATCATGGGAGGGTTAAACACTCAATTTAAAAAAAAATGTGAGTGGCTGCTCATGTGCAAAAGTAGCAGTACAAGAATAATATATGACAATTAATGCTAGGCAGTAAAGATTTGCCACTATTTAGAGGTTCCAATAAAAACTTCTCTTAGAAAGAGGGATTAACATTTTAAGAGGACATCTACAATGCCAAAAGGCCATCTGATGTCATCCTTTGACCTTAAAGCATCCAGTATGCTGAGTTGTTTGGTCATGTAAGCATGCTGTGGATGGATTAAGGACTACAGTGATTGTGTTAGTATGAAGTGTAGATAGGAGTTCTGTTTTTTGCTGTTTACCAATTTTATTTTTCATTGTTTATTTTTAGCAGTTTGTGAGTCTTATGTAGGTATCATGAAATCATTTCTTCTGTGCACCAAGTCTGCTTTAATTTGTATTACTTGAGTTATATGTAATAATCACTTCTGTGCTACCTTAAACCTTTACTACCTGTCATTAGTTGAGTTGCATTTCGAGTATTCAGAATGAACCAATGCTAAATACTAGTCAGAAAGGAGGGACATTACATAATTAACTGCATTGGAAAGGATGAAGTTAACTTGAATTGAGTAATAATTTCCAGTGTTTATTGGATATACACCAATCCTTTTTTTTGTATTTTGAGGTAATTATCAATTAAAATAAAAAATCAGAAGCCCTATTTATACATGAGTTAGTTTTTCTGGTACTGCAGTGATGTAGTTAAAAGATACTTCAAGAAATACTGTGTATAAAGTAACTATTGTCTGGGAATTTTCCATATATAATACAGTATGTTGAATTATTTATTGTTATAAAATTCCCTGAAAAGTGACCATATGTATAAAAAAAATGTGTATAACAAATCAGTTCAGTAATACCATCTAATAATATGCAGCAAACTGTAACAACACAACAATGTAAATTCCTGTCCTTGTTGCTACTCTTGGCTTTAATCAAAATAATTTTCAATTTGTCCTTAAAAATACATACATTATTTAAAAAATATTTTCTCTATTCATTAGCCTTTCTACACACACACACACACAAATTGCTTTAAGTGTGCAGAAAAGTAATGAGAGAAAAGTGTAAATTAAGCATGACTAGAAATACATGATCAAATCAGTATTATGTATGCTTTTGTGAACTTTTCAGTTGTGCTTATATTGTAAACAGCTTCCAGCTATAAACTGTATTATCATCATATAATATTTAAGGATGTTTTATGATTTATTACACTTTTTAAAGAGCTGTCAAAGATAAAATGTTTCTTAACTGTAAGAAATAGATTTTTGTTGAATATGCATGATAATGAATATATTGGAATTGTAATGCTAATATCTGCAGGAAAAGATCACTAACTCTTGTGTTTCTTTCTTCAAGCACCCTCTATTCCTCCTGCTCCAGGGAATGTGTCCACTAGACATCCTTTGTTAATAAGACATGGAGATCCTCACTCGGCTATTTCATCTAGAGTTCACAGAGCTGGTCGTCAGCGAGCAAGTTACAGAGCTGCTCTTGGTAACCATACCTGGCACATGTATGCTGGAGGCAGTCGTCATCCTAATCCACCAGCAATACTTCAAAGGTGAAGGTTTCATTATACTTTGTGAACTCAATTTACTCTTCCCCAGTTCATGCATCTCTCAAAAAATGTTTATACAAAGACATTGTTATGTGTATAATAAAGCACTTTAACCTTAGAATTATCGATAGAATTCACATGGATCCAATTAGCTTCTTAGAAGAATTTTTCTTAATAGTTTGCATCAAATTGCTTAAGGTCCATGATTTTGTTGAATACTGGGTCTGTAATAAGAGGGGAGTCACAAAACATTTTACACAGAAGTACTGTCAATATTTCAGTTAATCCCATTAACTACTGCTGGGTTTTGTTGCATATTTTCATAGAAAATGAAATTTCTTCCAAAAAACATGAAATTTCTCAATGTGACACAATATGTAACCCCATTAGTAGTGAACAGTATATAAACAAGTCCATAATTTAAGGGTTCGGGTACTATTCATAATTTACAAATGTATTTTGTAGCAGATCTGTAGGTCACAATATTGCTAATAGTTTAACAGTATATTTGCTTTTCCAAGCTACTTTGTCACAATACTGGCAATGATTTATTTGGTTGTTTATTGTTTTTCAGTTGTGGTAATAACTAAAACCCTGTTTTTATAAGGACTGAAAATTTTGCTTGTACACCTGTTAAAAGTCAATAAGTACCACTACTGTGAAGGATATATTGATTTGCTTACTTGAATGTTTTGTTTAAGCTAATATATCTTAAACCTGCTCATGACTTTAAATACTAATTTGCAATTGTCTCCTCAAGGTCAGAAAGTATTGATGCTGTTAATGATATATTGCTTTTGTTGGTTTTAAGCTAATATTATCCTCCTTAGCCCCTGCTATTAATGATATATTGATTTGTGTTTTATTCTGAACTAGTATTGTACTTCTTAGCCCTCTCATGGTTTATCAGTTCATTTGTTTCTGAACAGTTGTCATGATTTTCCCATATTGTTTTGCTTGTTCCAGGCTATTGGGGCCCAATACTGCTCAGGACATTTTGCAACTGACATCTTCTTTCAACTCTCATCCAGCATCAGGTCAAACACGAGTGATTTTTGCAAATAGTGATCTTCGAATATTAGCAACAGATGAAGATTTATTTGAAATACAGGTATCATTGTCTTATTTTGTTTTTCCTTATCCAGCTGTTTTGTAATTGATCTAATTTTAATAGGTTAAGAGTGGCTGAATATTTTTTCTTTGCATTTTTAGAAACATGGGCAGAGTGGTTTTTATTACAGAAAGTGTTTGATATTTGACACTAAAGCAGCACTTGATACTACTTTTAGTAAATCTAATTTTACTTTATATTTATCATGTCATTACTAACAAATGTAATTCATTTAAGTATACTGATAGCCATCCATACATGAATATGGTTCTTAGTAATAGCTATTTTGTTTCCTAAGTTTTCAGATTAGAAACATTTTATTCAAAAGTTGCTGCAAGTTAATTTGTACACAAAATTGTAAACAAAATCTCACTTCCATATTTATATGCTAATAACCTTTATATGCAAAAGATGTAAACTGTATTTGCTTATTTTTATCTTTATTTCAACATCTCAACACACATACACACACAAAAAATCATGATCAAAAAACTGACAATTTACAGATCAGTTAACAAGCAAGCCATAGCTTGGTGTAGACCTTCCTTTCAATAACTGTAACGTTGTAGTCCTGCAATTTGTAAACTATTAAACTTTCTAGCTAGTTTAGTACTGATATTTTCCTAACATTTTTTGGTGGAATGAAATTGAGAGGAAACATGTATTTGCTCATATTGAATAACAAATTATTAGTCATCAAACCAGCTAGATTGATCATTAAAGTGTTATCCAAAATGAACTTTGTGTTCAGACAAGGTAGATGCTTGTTCTAGATTTTGCTTATATTATTTTATCCTCTGCAGTTTTCAATCTAGTAAAGTATAACACACAACATAGTGTTATTCTTTATTTAAACAGAAAGTTATTTGTGTAGAATTTTTGTGAATTTGTAAAACATGGCATCATTTGAGCTTATCTCAGTCAAATGATTACTGATAATTTCTGGTAATGTAAAACATTTTTATTGTGGTTTTTTGTTTGCTTATGTCCAATTGAACTGTTAACATGTCCATGAAGTACGTACTCTTCAAAGCTTATGAAGGATGATAGAACATAAAACATAGAACAGTAAATGAAAAAAATATAGAAAACGATCTTTTCTACTTACGAAATTTGCATTGATTTAATAATCTATATGATTTTTTGTTATTTCAAAATGCATATATAAAAACCTAAAAATATTTTGTTTTACGTACTCCATATGTGAAATTCGACAAGGCTTAGCAAATTATGGCAAGCAAGTAGGTTTTGCAATAATGAAGGACAGGAACAGTAAATTTAGAAGCAATGGGAATCAAACCCTAGACCTTCAAATTCTGAAGCATACCCCCACCTGCCAATTATGTAGCTTTGTACTTAACAATGAACAAACATAATGGCAATATTTTGATCATTTAGATATTTCAAATAATTGATTATGGAAATAATCACAAGCACTATTTTTGATTACTCAATTATTTCATAATGTTAATCAATTAATCATAATTTCAATTAACCCTATCGGTATGAGTAGGGGTCAGTTGTCATCATGTTTGTAGACTTGCATTCAATATTTTATTTAATTATTGTTTTATGAATGTATGTCAATAAGTCTGGTATCAAATTGTAGATTATAATTTCTCAATTTAAATGTAAATATTAAAACAAAATTCCTAGATATTAATTTTTGTGTCATGTGGTATGTTGAATGTAGCTTTGGTTCAAATTAGATGTTTATGATGTCCAAATATAAAGTCTATAGTTTCTTACGAAATAGAAACTCAAATTATAGATACTGACAAGCTAGAATATAAAATAATAACCTAGCTTTTGTATTTTCTGAGATATTATATTTAAGGAATGAAATAAGGTGACCCCACCCACCTCTTCCATTTTTGGAAATGCTTGTTTACGTTCACCTACTTCGCTCCATGACATATTTATAACCAATCAAAAGCTCAGAATTTCCCCAAAGTGGTTTTCTCAGCCTTTGTAAAGTGCTTAAGAAGGAAAAACAATCTTTTCTGTTGTAGGCTTGCAGAGAAGAGGTAAGACGAAATGGTAATCAAAAAAGGATATTTTTTTAGGACCAAATACAGTTTAGTTAGTAAGCCTGATAAAGTACAGTGAAATTCTGTAGTTACTTAGGATATCTGCCGCTGTCACTAATATTGAACTACTGCTTATGGGAAAGGCACTGACAGATAGCACCCACTACCACCTCTCTGACTACTTTATTATTATTATTATTATTATGAAATATCAATATCAATTAAAACATTGGAATGATAAGTTTTCATGCTTTAAGCTTTTGCAAGATACTAACAATGTGTGTG